AATATATATAATAATAATATAATATATTATTGTTGGTCTATGGTACCTAGTAACTATAGCGTCGACGCGTAGGTAGGCCCTACGTTAAACTAGTGAGTTTATTAAGCAGCATGCATGGTAGCTATGACCCGCCTCTAACACGACACTGTCACTCCCACGCTGGGCCATCTATAAGCCACACACGTCAGCAGAGTCCGGAGTCAAATACTCCCTGATTTACTGTTGGACTCCCTGATTTGATATTATGCAGGAGTCCGTGTCACTCCCTGAAAATTCTCCCATACTAACTAGTTCAGTTCCGGAGCACGGCCTCGCAGAATTACTGTATTTTTTTCAGCTAATGTCCAAAGAAAATTTGGCAGGCATGCAACTGCATAAATCTTAAAAATAAGCACATGCGTTATTGTTAATATCTTTAATTTTGAACCTCAGACTGCGGACTCCCTCATTTTTCTACGGACTCCCTCTTTTTGAGGGTAGGGAGTCCGTTGGACTTCAAAATTCAATTTCTACCCCTGCGACAGTATGTACCAATATGACGGCAAGGGAAATAATAGAACGACGCGTACAGGCGTCTATATTACCAACAAGAGCTAATAATACCTTTTTATTATTAGGTTTTTACGCACGTACATACGTGAATAATACGTGAATGTACAGAACGCACGCACGCACGCACGTACGCACGTACAGGCGTAAATAATACGTGAATGTACACAACGCACGCACGCACGCACGCACGTACAGGCGTCAATAATACGTGAATGCACACAACGCACGCACGCACGCACGCACGCACGCACGCACGTACAGGTGCGAATGATACGTACCTGACGATGAAGTCGAATTCGGAGAAGGCGAGCATGAGGACTCCGAGTAACGTGGAGATGGCACCATGCACGACGGGCGCCATCATGTGCTCGAGCGTGATGCGCATGCGCCGGTTACGACTGCCGATGCTCGTCACGAAACCCTGCAGAGACCAGAGGGGAACACATATATTGTCCGGCGCACATCTAGGAGTTAGCAAGCGGTGCGCGGGTTACGGTAGACACGTGTGCGTGCGTGCGTGCGTGCGTGCGTGTGCGTGCGTGCGTCAGCTATAGCGTCATGAATAAGGTCGCATGTCGACTTCAAAGATAGCTGAAGCACACGGTGATACCTTAAAACGAACAGCAAGATCTGCATATATTTTTTTTATTGTTGTTGTTGTGAAGCCTGAGGAAGAGACAGATGTTCTCAAAAGCTCACAAAATAAAAGATTTAAAGATTTAATATTCAATTTTATATTCATATAATATCTTCTTTTTTTATATATATGTGTGTGTGCGTGCGTGCGTACCTACGTAATGACGCAGTGCAATACTATCGTTATGTAATATTGAAATATATATATATATATATATATATATATATATATATATATAATATATATATATATGCACTGCCGTTGTACTATAGTATTAATTAGTACAGTGATCTATTCTATGTGTTATTTTTGTGTTTCTTTCTGTAACATATGTAGGTACTCACCAAACAGACGTGCACTGTGAATTCGACACCCAGGCCCATCCCCGTGATGAGAATCACTGCCGGAATAGCAGACATCTTGATTCCCATGAGGCCTAGCAATCCGAACAGCTCCATCACCATGGAGACGATGACAAACACCTGTGGAGGAAGACAGCGAGACAGTGCTATAGCATGCAGGTAGAGTAGAGCTCGTACTCTGTGAGAATCATAAGCAATGGGCAACGGAGACTCATATATAGCCTTAATTTCTAACCTAACTCAAACAAACCTTGATTCCTAACCCGAGGCCTAACCCTAACATAAGCGCGCTAACCCTAACGCTAACCCAAATATATCCCTAATCCTCATTCGTGAGTTTAACCATAACTCTAATCTAACCTTAACGCTAATCTCAATCTAACTTCAACCCCTAACCCTAACTCGATCACAAACTCTTATCTAACTCTAACCCTGATTCATAACCCTAACCTCAACTTTAATACTAACCTAACTTACATGGATGCTGCCTTACACTCCAGCCACCACGTTAACGTATACCCCATGCTCGCACGAATACATCATAATACATAACTGCGGTTTTCGCCGCCATCTTAGCCAGTCAGACAACACAACGCAACCGCGCGTAAGCCACCGAGCTATTATATATAATAACACATATAATAATAATATATATAATAACAATATATATAATAA